AGATATTTATTGAGTGCTTATTATGTACCACTCTTCTAAGCACCTTTATATCTATTAATGCATATAATCTTCATGGCAATATTGTCATTATGCTTTGTTATTATGACTGTTGTGCCATTGAGGATCCTAAGGGACAGAGGTTAGATAACTTGCCCAATTTAATGGGAAAGCCGCTTGTTCTGAATTCTATTCAAGGAACAGCTCCAGGTCTACTCTCATGGTAACTGTTTTACACTGCCTCTCTGAGATATATAAACCTACCTCCTGAAGGCAATATCTATTAACTCAAACCCCAGCGGGCCCCCTTTTTATGAACTTGCAGTAACTGCAAATGATAGGCAGATACTGTTCAAGTTTTAAAATGCCACCGAGTGCCTCATGATGCTCGGCACCTCTGTCGGTAATAGCACAGGCGAGGCAGTGTGATGGCATGAGGTATGGCTGTTTCTGAGCGGGTTAGTGCACGTAACCGTGCGGAGCAGGCCCCATTGTTATGCTGCTCCATTCCCCTAGTTCCCTCACTGCCTGTATCTGATCCATGGGCAACATTCCATCTACGTCAAAAATAACGTCAATCTAGTGAAAAAAACTGCATGACTCACACCATTACTGTAGGGAACTGGTCTCTGTGTAATATGATATATAACATCCTAATTTCATAGAGCACTTTTCATAACAGCTGCTAAAATAATCAAATCCATTAAATTCTTTTAAAGGATCCAATTTGAAGCTAGCTACTTCATATCTTCTGTGTATTTATCTGTCTGTATTTACTGGTTCACCTGAGTCTCCTCCTGTTCTATATTTCTAGCTGCATTGAGTCAGAGGTAGGCTATTTCAGAGACTGGAGGTTGTGAAAAAAATAAGAAAGCAGAAGAGGAAAAGGAAGTTTTCCACTGACCCTTATGGACAACAGAACGAGGCGTACTAGAGAAAAGAGGGAAAGAAAGAACTGAGGGCTTGGGCTGATGAAAGCAGTATGACATTATTGACTAAAATATCTGTAGAGAATGAATGACAATGGCCTTTATATCTAGCAGCACATAACTTAGAAACACTGAGCCAGTTGATTTCCCCTGCCACACTGCCATCCATAAAACTAACAGCTATTTCTGTTTGTAAGAATTTTATTTCTTGGATATATGTAAAGGCAAAAAAAAAAAAAAATCCCTCAGTATTGGGAGTTTTGTTTCCTCTGATGCTATATACTTCTGCAAGTTTGCAAAGTTAGCCCTTGACATGTATTTTTGTTTGGTAACATAAAGTAAGACCAAAAAGAGGATCCAAAGAAGGCAGAAATATGTGGAATTTACTTCCAGACTTGAGAGTGACCTTCCAGAAGGAGCATAGGCTTCTGAAGCCTATGCTCTATTCAGTCTCTTCCACAGATTAACTGTGTGGTACAAGTTAGTACACAAATTGACCTTCCTTGAGCCTCAGTTCCTTCTCTTATATGAAAAATAAGCTTAGACCAGAATCCCAAGGTTCTTTTGAGTTTGTAATATTATGATTTTTGTATTACATGATGTAAAAAGATAACATGTGATGCTCAGTCACCCTTCTGGTTACTTCTAGCAGCACAAATCTTGTACGTTTTCCTTCCGTGTGTACACACATGTCCTCTAATATTATTAAGGGGGGACGTATTACATGCAGTGTCTTTGGTGGGTGCTTGTGGACAGCGTTCCTTCCAGCTTCCTTCTGATGTAAGTGCTATTAAGGCAAAAGTTTTCAACTCCATCCCATTTTTCTGGTTCTGTTAAAAAAAATTTTTAGGATGGAATATAAATTACTGATTCATAATCCATGAATCACTGCAATAAAGTAGCTCTGTGATATTTGCTTTCAGACCTTCAAAAATTGTTAATTGCATACAATGTGTTGTTGGCCACTTGGATAATGGATTTAAGGCACAGCTTTTTAGATTCCAGCTAACGGCATCTTTAATAGATAAAATTTCATGTGTGCACTCAAGCAGTTTGTACCTAGTCAGCTGATGTTAAAGCGGATACACCAGATTGCCATTTTTGGGTTGTCCAACACAAGCACCAGGCAAATTAGTGAATAGTAATAGAGCCAGGAGTCCGACAGTAAGTTTTCTGCACTATTAAACCCTGATAATGAATTCTTCTGATTTTCTCTCACTTTATTCCTTCAACTCCCATTAATGGGGTACCTATTGCAGTCCTGGATATTGGGTGCCATGCCAGGTCCTCAGGGCCAGCATTCTATTGCAAAAGAACCATGTTTACAAAAGTGGAGTGAGATTCTTCCTTGGGTCTTTTTGTCACTGAGTAGCTCAAGCTGTTATTAAACTAACCAGACCAAAAAAAAAAAAAATCTAGGAAGTAATTTACACTATAGTTTTCAACGTGTCATCCTTTTTATTTTTCACATTCTCTAACATATACAGAAGATTTATGATAATATTTCACATGTAGCCTATTAGAGAAGTGAGTTTCCTGGACTAGTCACATCATATATGATTTTATAACCCCAAAACACCAAACTCCAATGACATTAAAATCTTACAACGGGAGCTTTATCAGTACTAGCTAAATCATAGTGGATAGTCTAGTCACCTGGAAATCAAAACACTGGAATAATCATGGTAGCTCATTAATTAGTTATGTAAATGAAGGCATGCTATTCAAGTTCTCTGAGCTTCAGAAGAGAAAAAAATACTTGATTGGTATCTCACGGGGCTGTTGTAAGGAACAAATGAGATAGAGTATGTGGTATGCTTTGTATTATAGAGCATACAATCCAAATATGAACTAGATAAGGCATCAAACGTGCTTGTACTACATACAGTGTTTCTAATTATATTATAGCTTTTATCTATGTGGTGTTCCACATTTTATATGTAAACAAGAGCTTATAAGGTTGACTTTCTTCCAATTATCACAACTAATGAACTCTTAATGGGTAGCTACAAATATAGATTTTTATCAGGAGGAAATTAAAGTGATCAAGGAATTATTTTTTTTCCTCCCGTGACACGTAAAAAGTAAAGAGACTACTAATTAGAAAATATTTAGCTGTTCTTTTTAAGTACTTGAATGATCTGAATTTTCTGAGTATTCATTCTTCATTCAGGTATAGGAAATGAAAAGTCATACCTTCTCTAAATATTATCATTCAATGGCTGTATTTCCTGGGCAAAATGTAGTTAATTTTATTTGTTAGAGCCATATACTAAGTGCTAGATTTCATAGGTAAGAGAGGCACAAACTGAGGTACTTCCTTCCTTTGGTTTTGTAATACAGCATATTTAGAGCACATCTAGAATAATGCTGTGTAAAGGAATTGCCTGGGCTAATAATAGTATCAGAAATTGTTTTATTCTGTTAATACAAGTACATAATAATTTTCTGCAACTCAGTTATTTGCACTCAATTGTTAATTCCTTGAACATGACTTCAGCTAATAACTGCCATTCTAAAAGCGTAAAATAGGATTAATGACCAAACTCCTTTATTTCTAAGGAGTGAAAGTAGTAGTAGCATTTCAAATAAATTCCACCAGACAGTATTTTTCCTTAACCAATATCTAGGTATATTCATGGGTACCTCTTCTTTTTTTTTTTTTTTAATGCGTTTTAGGTTTTGGGGTACATGTGATGAACATGCAAGATTGTTGCATAGGTACACACATGGCAGTGTGGTTTGCTGCCTTCCGTCCCCTTACCTGTATCTGTCATTTCTCCCCATGCTATCTCTTCCCACCTCCCCACCCCCCGCCCCTCCCCCATTTCCCCCCAACGGACCCCAGTGTGTAGTGTTCCCCTCCCTGTGTCCATGTGTTCTCATTGTTCAACACCCGCCTATGAGTGAGAATATACGGTGTTTGATTTTCTGCTCTTGTGTCAGTTTGCTGAGAATGATGGTTTCCAGGTTCATCCATGTCCCTACAAAGGACGTGAACTCATCGTTTTTGATGGCTGCGTAATATTCTCATGGGTACCTCTTCTTTAAAATGTTAACTTTTGGGTTCTGCTTAAAATCTGGGTAGCAGAATTAAAGGTAGTAAGAGTCAGGCTAAAGAAGACTACATTGGATTCTCTCTGTGCCCTTTACTGTAAATAGTTCATTTTCTTTATGTCTCACTTTACTCTTTTTCTTTTAGTCTCATTATTTAAAGACTTAAACATTTACCCTTCAAAAATCAGTGTCGTTTCTGGTAGGGAGAGAAGGTATTCAGAAAGAAGAGTCAGAGGCACATACAAATAACTTATCTGAAGTTAGAAGTTAATGAAAGAAAAGGAAATGTTTATCCTATCCTACTCCATCCACAATACTAGTAAACTAAGTACTTACAATTTTTTAACTGTTTGTTTCCTCGTTTGTTACCCAGACCTTGTTTTATTTCCCCAGCTACCATAAATTTGCTGACAAGGTAAATTCCTACAGGGTTCAAAAAGGGACAAGTAGATTTTCAGAAACTGTTTGGGGTTGAAAAAATATATATTAAAATGAAAATGGTATCATACCTGAAGACTACTAGTAAATTTTGCTACAGTAAATTTATGATAGTTACCTTCTTTTTCCTGTAGTTGAACTGGAAACCTGACTTCTTAGGTTTTTTAGTCCTTGGTTTCTCTCCTTGGTTTTGAAGGTGTATCATAAGTTGAGATCGCTCACCAAAGATACACCTTCCTCTTGCATCTTTGGTCATCTGACTCCCCAACATGCATACACATAAATAATCAATACAAATTAGCACTCTTTATAATTATGTTGCAGGAAGAGTGTATACTTTTTGGATGTTAGATTTTTTAGTGCCTTCATTATCTTTAGTGTTGGTTTCTTCCTTTGACTTTGTATACTCCTCCTACGTCCCAGTGATTTCTTGGTTATTTCTTGGTTACAGGCTGTCATGGTGATCACCTGTTTCTTACCGAATGTTACTGGTTACCTTGAGATTTTATCAGTGTCTGTGGTCTCTTCATCAGTTCTGTCCCAAGGTTTCTCTCACTGATTATCTTACAATATTCTTAGACTTGAATGAAGCAGTCCCAGAGACAGAGCGCCTGGATTCAAAAGCACTAAAAACTCGAGCCCATCTCTCCGTGAAGAACAGACGCCAGAGGCCTTCTAGGACAAGACTGTATGATAGTGTTAGTTCCACAGATGGGGAGGACAGTCTAGAGAGAAAGGTGAGCACCCCTGACCATTTTCTCATTCGTAGTGTTGGAGTGTTATCATTGTTCCTCCAGCTAATTGAATATGATGATTTTTCTGCAGTCAGAGTCTATGTCCTAGTTGGAAGCAGCTAGAATAGTTCACATCTTTGTCTACTGAATTCTTTATATTGTTGTAATTCAAGATATTTTCTCTATTCATTCAATGAACTAACCAAGAGCATTATCCATACTGTCATATTTCATGATGGTGCTTTTGATATTGAATTGTTTGTTTTACTTAGTGGGAAATAATGAATGTACAAGTAATTGTTTCTTTAGGTCTTAGGAATATGTATTAGTGATGATGTTAATATGGTGAATTGTTATGAACTATGTATTCTCATCTTTAAATCAACAAAAGCAAAAACTGGTTTACGTGGGAATTCACTAATAAGAGATTGGTCTTATTTCAAAGTAAGTATTTCATAGAACTGATACTCAGTGGCATAACCTTCCTTATAATCTCTTATACCAACAGCCTTCAAACAGTTTCTATAACCATATGCATATTACCAAATTACTTCCACCTAAGGGTTTGAGAACCTCTTCTCCAGAATCAGATTCTGGTGTTCCACCCCTCACCCCAGTGGCTAGCAATGTGCCCTTCTCATCTGACCACATAGCTGAATTTCAAGAAGAACCGCTGGACCCAGAAATGGGGCCTCTCTCCTCTATGTGGGGAGACACTTCACTCTTTTCTACTTCAAAGTCTGATCATGATATAGAAGAATCTCCTTGCCACCACCAAGCCACCAACAAGAAAATATTACAAGAAAAAGGTATTGTTAATTTTTTTTTGGTCTGACTTCTTAACACTTCAGCTTGTACAGTATAAAAATGACTTTTTCTCATAATAATAAGTCATAATCATTTGTCTTCTCATAGCTAATAATTCATATTACTTTCTTTTTATGTTATAGCATAAGAGAAACAACCCCTTCATGTATTTTAGTTTAGTTTAGTTTTTTTTCTTTTCCTACCTGGTTCAGTATATTTATCTCTTCAGCTCTCTACAAGTTTGCTACTAAAGGGAGTTCTTCAGGGGAGTGGGGCAGCCCAGAGTTTCAACAAACACTAACATAGTCATATAAAAAAAAATAGAGAGAGCAATTTTGTAGAATAGCAGCCCAGAGTTTCAGTAAACACTAGTCATATAGGAAAAAAATATAAGATCAAAGTAACACAGGCATATTTACTTCTAGAAGATGGGTAATCAACCAAATGCAGTCTCCACCTGCTTTTGTAAATGAAGTTTTATGGGAGTACAGTCACACTTTTTTACTTACATACTTTCTACTTTCATGCCAGAGCAGCAGAGTTGAGTCATTGTGGCAGAGACTGTATATCTTACAAACCTAAAATGTTTACTCTCTGGCCTCTGACAGATAAAGAAAGCTTCCTCATAACTGGCCTAGAAGTATGTTTTCTTATTCTCAACATTGCTAGATAAACTCTGAAAAGGGCTTAATCATTGGTTGCCATTTATCTATAATTTTTTTTAAGTATTATAGTATACTACTACTTTTAGTCTATCAAGTAACCACAAAGATGATTATATTATAGCCATATTTGGTTGCAGGCTTGAGGATAAGGCTCTGGTTACCCTAATAGGAGTTGGCTGTTTTCTGAATTGTGTCAATACCACATTTACAAGTCATCATTTTTTTTTTTCATTTCTGAGGGACATCAGTGGAAATTGGGATGGAAAAGTTCCATTATAACTGGCTAAATGAGAATCATCTAACTGAATGTCAAATTAGAGGAAGTAAAAGATTTTTTTCTTGAGATTTGTTAAATAGGTTATATGGAAGTAGAAGGCATGAAAATATTTTCCTCATTTCTGGCAACCCAGTACTAAAATTTTGGTCCTGTGGCTTACATAGCACTGGGCCTTTGTTCAGTCAAGTTTAAGTAGAGTAAATTGAGCACTATCCATTTTCTACTCACAGTTATTAGAGATTATTATTCTAATTTTTTGTGCAGTTAATAACACATTATTTTACCCAGAAAATGTCTTCAAAAATATGTACTGAATCAATGTCCTAGTAAATAGAACCTGGCTTTTTAAAAGCTTTACAGGATTTATTTCGTATTAAAGGCATTGGGCCTCTGCAAGTATAGATAGAGTACAATTATATCAATGCTCAGAAGAGAGAGAAGTTGTATCCAGCTGGGGTTGGTAAAAAAAAATTTGTCCAATGAAGTGCAATTAGAATAGCCATCAAAGCACTTAAGGAAAAAAAAGGGTAGGTAAGGAAAGTATAGAAGGTAAAGTCATGTCATTAACAGAGACAGGCACACATAATATGATTTAAAGGAACAAGGCTACTGCAGCCTGGCTGAAGCAGTTTGCCTATGCAGGGTAGAGTGGTTACACACACAAGTGAGCAGGTAGGTTAGGTATATAGCTTTAGAATTTAAACATCTTAAATAACTTACCATATTACTAGGAAACCACAAGAAGTTTAGGCAGAAGAATAAAAAGGAAAAGATACCAGTTATGGAAAAGCTGAGTTAGGAGACCTGTGAGGTATGCCTTCTAAAGAGGACCAGCAGACAATGATGGGAAAGAATGATACAAGGGATACAAGGGGCCTTGAGGCGTACATTGACTAGGTCACACGGAAGAAAGTGAGGCAAAACTATCATGGGCTTCATGCCTCAGAACATACGATCTTGTCATTAACAGAAAATAGGAAATTAGGAACATGATGGAGGAAATAGGATTAACTCATTTTTTTTTTTTTTAACAGAGGAGGTCATGAGCTCAAGAGAGAGGTCAGGGCTGCGAGGTAGATTTGGGAGTCCCCGTTATAAAGGAAGAGATAGTCAAGTATCTTATTACAGCGAGATTAAGGAGATGCAGTCTAGTAAAAGACCTTCGGATTTAGCAATCAGCAAATCATTTACTACCTTTGAAAATGAAAACCAGGTTGCCACAGTTTAAAGTTGAGGCACACAGTCTTGAGGCTCAGACGTACAATTGGTCACAAAGGTAGTATTGGAGAGATTTCAAAAAGCCTAACAGAAGTCTTACATAGAGCTAAATAAACAAAAGTGTGTTTTTCTTTTTTCAAATCATACCACTCCATTGTTGGTTTTTATGCAGACTAGAAGTTCTGGTGTGCATTAAAGATGGATTTGATTAATTTAAAATGGGAAAGTACATTATTCCTTATTCTTAACCTCTTCAACTTTATGGAAACATTCATTTCAGTATTCCTGGGAACACACTTTGACAAATGTGTGAGATAATGTTGTGAGGTTGCCTAGTAGCAGGCTCTGTGATAGGCAAAATCAGGCTTTTAGTTGCAAGATGTCCAAATAAGTGGAACACTAATAGGTTACAGAGTGTTTCCATGTACATTGCCTTAGCTGGTCTTCTCACCACTCATTATAACATCTCCCAACTACCTCTAATTCAGAAAATAATTAGGCAGTCTCCTTTTAAATTTGCACAGTCCTAGCCATTAAGAGTTACTTTAGGATTGATTTGGAAGAATTTGGCACTTTCTTTTCTTTAGCTTCTATTGAGAAAATTTAAATCTTGCTTTCAAAAAAAAAAATCCATTAGTAAAATCACCTTAGAAAGTGTGCCATGTCTATGGGTATTTTTTTTTTTTTTTTTTTTTGTGATTGTGTCACATCTGTGACAGTTTAATTCAGTTACCCAAAGAGTAATGATGTAAATATGCATAATAAATATTTGAGGCTTGAAGTGGATTTTGACACAGAATATTTCTGACTCTTATATTTCATTATGTATATTTCAATGAATTGATTATTGTAATCTGAGTATCATTAACTAAAATATGAAAAGCTCATTGCTAAAAACACCTGGAGTATTTGTCAATATGTCAGTGTCCTGTGCTGCTTGAGAGCTTAGAACCCAGACTTCTATCTGTGAATTGTGTATGTAGTTCATGTTTTTTAAGGGTATTGTGTGTTTAGAAAATTCTCTTGAAGTAAACAAAAATCATCAGCAACAGTAACCTGCAAGGTTAATTGAACACTTATTTAAGGGGAACATTCTCTTTGCACTCTGTACTAGAAAGTACCTAGAAATTTAAAAAACATTTTAAAAGATAAGAGAGAAAAACAGACACCAACAGAGAAGTAGGGAGGAAGAGTTTCACACACACACACACACACAAAACATCAAATTTTAAACAGCGTTTGTTAATCATCTGAGCTAATTGGATATGCTGAAACATGACACCGATCAGTATCCTGCTGAGTAGTTCGGGTGGAGCCATACGAGTTGTCCACCCTGCCTGAGATGGAACGAGTGCCACCAGTGGAATTGTTTCCCACGTTGACATTGAATTCCATTTGCCAAACCTGTTTTCCTGTTGGTTTTTGGCATGATTTCAAGGGTCCCTATTCCCCAGCAGCTGCCACCTTTGAGAGTCCTAGCAAAACTCAGAGGCAGAGATCAGTCCACTGTGAACACTGAGGAGATTTTGGCATCTTCCACATTAAGGGGAAACAGCCAAGTTGTGCTCTAACCTATTAAGAAAGTCCCTTTAAAGATACAAATGTTTTGTAGCTGAGCTCCTGCTTAAGAAGTCTTCCCCATGTCCTCCCCTCCTCTGTCCCAGGACTGGCCACAGGACATTAGCAAAGGAAGAGCCCACAGAGGAAAACTTTGACTCTGACTTACCCTCTAAATCTCCCAGACTCTCAGAGGTGATGTTCTGCAGTGGGCTTTGGAGATATGGGAGAAGTGGGCTGGGTTCCCATTAGAAGGCACCGCAACCCCAAGGCAAGAAAGGAATGGAGGACAGAGCCTAGGCACTTGAAGCCAAGAATTTGGAGCCAGAGAAGGAACAAAAGAAAAGTCATGTTGGTCCCTACTTTGAATGCAGAGGATGATCTGATAGCGTTTATTCTCCCTTGTTCATTCCCATACCTTTGAAGCTAAAACTCTTTGTGATGAGTGTTGAACCTCTGTTCTACACAGGACCTCCTCTGCTTAACTGACAGTTCCTCAGTGTAGTAATGTCTCTTATGTCGTGTAAGAAGGCATCCATTATTTCTTTTACAATTAGGGATTTAGGCAAAGCTCTTAGATTCAGAGATGCATTGACTTTTGAATTGTGACTTTAAAAACAATAATAATTGATCTTTTTTCACAAATGTGTATATCCCAGATGATGCCAAAGATCCCAAATCACTAAGGGCATCCAGTTCGTTGGCGGTACAAGGAGGAAAAATTAAGCGGAAGTTTGTGGACCTGGGGTAAGCACATCATGATGTAAAAAGAAAGCCATCTGTAAAAGGAAGATTGAAAGAGAAAATTTCAGGTTCCCCTTTCTGACTGTGTACTGTCATTATAGGGCACCTTTGCGAAGGAATTCAAACAAGGGAAAGAAATGGAAAGAAAAAGAAAAAGAAGCCAGTAGGTTTTCTGCAGGTAACAGGTATGTGTGTGTGATTAATAACATATTTATTTCTATATCTAAGCTTTCTGGCCCCTCTAACATTGTTAACCAAAATCAGTGGTCAGTATCTTTGAGCTGAAATGATATGCTGAGAATTGAGATGAAAGAAAAATTGCATATCGGTTTATATAGGTCTTACTCCAATTAAAACTCCATCTAACCTTGGGCATATCCATTGGTTCTTCACTGCAGAATTATGGCAACATGTACTGTTTCTATAAGTGTTTATATAAATATAGCATTAATATATATGATACTTCAGACGTAAAAAATATATTTATGTGATACTTCAGATTTTTTGCCTGGCTACCCACAATGCTAGTGCATTGTGTTAAGTCTAAAAGAATAATCATTTTGCAATTTAGTACGTTGTTGACCTTCAAGCTTGTCTTGTCCACATGTAAGAGTGACCATCATCTTTTGCTGGACTTGGCTATTTAATTGATTTTGCGGGCACTATCAACTATGGTTACTCTTCATTAAAGACTTTCCCATAGAGAGTGAGCTTTGAACAGCCTGTTGTCAAATGTTTCCAGTTTTCTCCTGAGATGATATAATTTTAAGCTGAGGTTTGTATAGGTAGTCAGTAAAGCATCAGGCTCTGCAGCCCAACTGTCTGGGTTTGAATCATGGCTTTCCCACTTAGAACTTTTAAATCTTGGACAAATTAATTACTCTGTGTGCCTTCATTTCCTCATGTAAAATGAAGGTGATTCACATAAGGTCAGTGTAAGGATTCAGTGAGCTTTCATGTAAAACATTTAAAATGATAACTCAGCATGTAGGAGGTATTCAAGAATATTAAAGATAACAATTTGCTGCTATTATTATTGCCTTACTATTTTTTGCAAGTTACAAAGTAGTTTTACATTTATCACTTCGTTTGATCCTTATAAGATTGGAAGGGTAGATAATAATACCATACTTTATTGATGAAGAACTTCACCTTCATAGAATTTAATTGATTTGCCCAGGGTTGTTCAGCAGGCAGTTTGTGTCAGTCTGGGGCTTGTGCCTTCTGTATAGATGTCTTTCCAACATACTATGCTACCTTCAGTTACTTATGCATCTAATGAGACTTAAATTTATTTGTGAACTTTGGAAATAATCTCAATATCATAGACTAAGGAAGAAACAAAATACTAAAAATAAAAGACTACAAAATCATGTGGGGACCACTCTTCCACTTCATAGGTTGTCCACTGCTGTTTACTTTTCTTTTTTCTCTTTTCTGATGTATACCTTGGTGATAAATTTTACCTTCTTCTTGACATTTAAGGAACATTGGGTGGGAGATGAGGAGAGTTCATGCCCAAATTCCTTATTTTTGTTAGTATGGCTTTCCTTTATGCTGTACGTTGGAAAAGAGTAGAATGCTGTCATATTGAGGACAACTGTCTCAGGAAAATAAAGGTAAACCTGAGACTGTATGCAACTCAAAAGCAGTTTAACTTTGTGTGGTTTGGAAATGAGAATGTTCTACTTTGTGTGTTAAATTTAAGACTAGAAAAAAGAAATAAGCATACTCAGGGAAAGAAACAAATAATGAAACCATATGAGAGAGAGAGAGAGAGAGAGAGAGAGAGAGAGAGAGAGAGAGAGAGAGAGAGATGGATAAGTACACAATGGGAGAGAAACTCAGATATGTCAGAAATGACACTGTCCTTCCTTTGGTCTCTGAGCTTTGAAGACAGTCACTCCCTCTCACCTTTGAGGCACCACCTGAGAGGGATTTTAAGTACCTGCAGCCAGAAAGGGAGAAAGCGTTTGATGGAATTTTACCATGATATCCAGAGATGATCACCACCTTGTATTAAACTGCAGATGAAAGTCAAGCCAATCTTGATTGTGTTGGTGAGTGCTCACCTACCTCACTATAGGCAAAACCACAGCTTGTCAAGGGCAGGTGGCCATCAGCACATTGCTTCACCACAGCTGATGCCCACTTAGAACTCACAGCTAGACTTCAAGATTGGCTGCCTAGTCACTGCTGTATTTTTAAAACTCTGGAGTCCCCCTGCTTCAGCAGTCACAAATTATTGCACACATACCAACACTACAAACTAGTTTCTAATTAGAATCATGATTTTGATCTTTTGTAGTTCATAAGCCTAATGATTGGGTGTTCACAGGCATGTGTGAGCTATGCCTCCCTCAAACCTTGTTAGGACATTGGCACAGCCAAAAATAAAATAAAATAAAATCATAGTTTTATAATTATTTGTAATTATAGTAGAATTTGGCAGGATGGAAAGGAATTCATATAATTAAAATAGAAGAACAAGGGAAGAAGGACATTTTTCTCTAGCAAAAAAAAATATGATTTTTGAGCTGTCATAGTAATTGGTTAACACTAATGAAATCTAATGACAGCCTATATTCTTCTGTATAGATTGATAATGGGCCCAGAACCTTATAAAACCTATTCTAGGAAGAACAGAATTGCTGCCCAGTAGGAGCTTAATGTAATTGAGTTGGATTCTCAGGGCTCTGAAAGTTAGTGGGTTGTAAGCACCATCAGCTGCAGGTTCACACTGCAATTGTGGGGACCAACCGGGAATACACTCACCACCCCTGGGACTGGGAGGCTTCCTCAGAAAAAGGAGAGAAGGATCCTTGGACTGAGTAACGTTGTCTTTTTGAGGCATTTCATCCAATTCTTATTAGGCTGTTAAAATTCTGATGAGATCATTGGTCAGCTATAACCTGTGGCTGTTAGATTTTAAACAGGCAAGACTTTCACTGTTTGGTTTTGGCTTTAGTTTTTTCCCCTCTATAAAGAGTTTACCCTGTTGTGTTCCTTATAGGTACATAATGACTCAGATACATGCCCAGCATAAGACAACCAGAGAAAATGAATGAGGCTAATAAGAATAAATAAAGCCAACAAAGAAATATGATTTGGTTCCATCCCTTTTCAAATATGTGCTCAGTGCCATTGTCTTTTTTGGGGGCTTTTTTTTTTAAGACACTGTCTTACCCTGCTGCCCAGGCTGGAGTAAGTGGCATAATCACAGCTCATTGCAGCATTGACCCCCTGGACTCAAGTGATCCTCACAACTCAGCCTTCTGAGTAGCTGGAACTACAGGCATATGCCACTATGTCCATCCAGCTAATTTTTTAAAAGTTTTTGTAGAGATGGGGTCTTGCTATGTTGCTCAGGCTAGTGTTGAACTCCTGGGCTCAAGCAGTTCTCCTACTTCAACTTCTCAAAGTGGTGGGATTATAGGCACAAGCCATCACACCCAGCCAACATTCTGATTTTAAACAGGCAGCATAGCAGATAACAAAAGCAGGAAACATTTAGTTGTCAGAGCTTGTTCACCCCATAAAACATATACCAAAGGGTATAATAAAATACTAAACTATATGCTAGAGTAAGTAGCCACTGATGTTAGTGGAACATCTACTTTGAGCTCTGTAGATAAGTTTCCAGTGGAGTCACTGAATGGAAAACTCTGTGAGATGTGTGTATCTAAGATGGGGTTAGGTGATAATATGTTGAGAAAATGAGAAGTGAAAGAGATGGCATGCCTCTTTGGAAATGAATTTGCATTCACCTGGAAGGTGTAAACAGCAGGAAGAACACTGAGCTGGAATCCAAGTACTAGTCCTTACTTTTCCATAGGCAAGTCTCTGAATTCCTAGGACCTTGGTTTCCTATCAAAAAATAAGTGGTTTGGGTTAACACTGCATGGCTCTAACTCCCCATTCACCTCAGTGTACACTGTCCAGTATGGATGCCTCTAGTAAGATAAGGCTGGTCTATACTGAGATATGTGTAGGAGAATAATGAATGCTGGACTCAAAGAGTTATGTTAGTATGAACAAAACTAACATAAACTATCAGGAGACTGACATCAGCCTGGCCAGTATGGTGAAAATCCATCTCTACTACAAATGCAAAAATTAGCTGGGCGTGGTGGTGCACTCCTCTGGTCCCAACTGCACAGGAGGCTGAGGCAGGAAAATCACTTGAACTTGGGAGGCAGAAGTTATAGTGAGCCAAGACTGCACCACTGCACTCTGGCCTGGGCGGCAAAGCAAGATTCTGTCTTAAAAAAAAAAAAAAAAAAAAAAAAAAAAAACTTATTAATAATTTAATAATATTGATTACATGTCAAAATATTTTGAGTTTGTAGGATGAATAAAATGTATTATTGTTAAAATTATTTTACCTCTTTTGTTCATGTGGCTACTAGAAAATTTTAGTTTACAATGTTTTCTTTTGGATAGTATTGATCTGTATGATTCCATGAAAAATCTTCCTTTAATTTCTGCCCCATTATTCAGTTGGCCTATTGAGTGAGCATATATGCATACATTGTTTATTTTCTTAATTATTTCCATTCTACTCGGTATTCCAAAATAATTTGTTTGCATGTAAAAGTACATATGCTATAGCAATATAATGTATTAAAATGTGAAGTGAATAGGGAAAAGTTAGATTAAAAAGTAAAATTGTTACTTAAAATACAATATCTTCAGTAACATCTTCATAGTAAGTATCACAGTGACCTTCCAGTGAAAGATAAAAACACTGTCAAAAGGGTTAAAAGCCTGGGTTGAAATCCCAACTCTGCCACTTATCTTCTTGGACAAGTTACCTAACCTCTCTGTACCTCAGTTTTCTCATCTATAAAATGGAGATGTAGACACACACACACACACACACACACACACACACACACCCCTCTTCATGTTATCGGGGGGATTGAGATGGCCCATTTACATATATTTCAAATCCTTAAATAAAAATGGCTATTTTTTTCATTGTTTAGGTTTAAAGCAGGTTTGATGGGAGGGATACAAAATGATATTCTTCTTGCGTATTTTGATGGCAGTTTTGTTCATTCAGGATGACTTTTGTTATATCTTGCAGAATGAATGGGCTATGTGGATTATACTTCAGGCAGTCCTTCATAGGCTATTTCTCTCAAAGAGGCTTTAGATAAATCATGGCATTACAGCAAGTTTGAAATTATATCCTATGACTAGTACCTGGAGGGTAGCTCTATCCTGTTGCTGAGTAAGAGCAAAACCCCTGCTTAAGAGTCATCTTAGCTGACTGGAAACACACATTATAGGAGAACTGATAGAGATGAGCACGTGTGTGAATAAAAAAACACCTCATCTCTGCCTAAGGCTAGCCCAGTGAATGCAGTCATTTTCATAGAGACCTTTGAAAAATATCAGCTTAGGCTTATTAGATTAGACTTATTCCTTATAACTGTTTGGCCCGTTTTTAGCTGCATTTATCAATTTAGTATTCAGTTTTCTATTTAAGTAGAATATGTCAAATGCCTCAAGCCCGACAAACTTACACTCTTAACAAACAAACAATTTTACATACTTAAAAAACCTCTTGAAAATCTATTAATATTTAACTGTAGTGACTCTAAAACATGCCAGTACAGTTATGAATGTGCTTAGTATATCTTGTATGTTAAAAACTCAAATTTAAAATGAGATTAGATCATTAAAATGAGTTAACATTTAAAGATAGAATCAGTGGACACATTTCTCTTTCAGATTTCTATTCATACAAATTTTCTTAAACATCTAAGCAATATATCTGTTATTCTTAAACTTAGCACTTATATTTTGATGGCATGGATTTTATTTACCTGATCCTCTTCTATTTCATTTTAAACCTTTTCAGTATGGAGAGGACTCATTAAGGGAATAGTCTCACCATCTCAAATGATTCAAAGTTGAACACTACAATGATCATCTCAGATGGACTGTTATTTATCGATTAGAAACTTAGATCAGAACTCAGGATCTGGGAGCAGGATATGTCTGGGTAGGGGCAGGGGTTGGCCCTGAGCTACAGAGGGACATGTTTCTCACAGCTGTTATGCATTATGGTCTCCAGGTACCCTTTAGATTCGGCTAACTTTACAACCTCAGTCTTCTTGGTGGATGTTAGAACCTCATAGAATTATTTCATTTGATTTAGGTAAATGCAAGTCTGCAACTCTTCCTCTGGTTGCAGCTAACTTTCTTCCATTAACTTCCTTTACTCCTGCCTTGAATTCTATATTCCTTTTATACTTTATCTCTTCTGGCCGTTTCTGAACTCGTAATGATATTTTGAAGACATCCAATTAGATGCTGAATGCTTCACACACCTGTATTCAAAGTTAAAATAACAACAACAAAGATGACCTTGGTGTGTTTAGCTGGCAATTTAATTTTGGGGTACCAGCCCCAGGATAAACTGGATTCAAGATACATTTAAATGAGTTCATTACTTGAAAGAGATATTACATAAACCATGTAAATGCCAGGAAACAGCTACCCCCAAAATGGCAGCTTTGGATTATGAAAACTGAATTTGAAGCCACTCTTTCTCCCAGTTCCTAGGAGTGACTTGTGATTCTGTTTTTTCCAAAAGTGATAGCAGCCACTAAATTAGAGCTTAAAAAGATGAGGAAATATAGGATATCTGCCTATTTTCATCCTTTGGAAAAATTATTTTCAGATTCATCAAGAGTTCATTTCTACCAATCTTGATTTTGGGGAGAAAGGAAGGTGAAAAAGAAAGAAAAGGAAGGAGGGAGGAAAAGAAGAAAGGAAGGAAGCAAATAAGAAGGGAAGGAAGGATTTTGTGTTGTTCCTAATGGATTTCTCCACCAAGGGGAATAGACTGTAAGAGTGGTCAGCACAGAATAACTGCTGCCAAATCCTTTCCGCTTCTATCGTGGGCCCAAGAGTTCAATTTATTCAGAAGGAAATTGACATTTATTTTAGAAAGCATGTCTGCTAAGCCAATAGGTCTGTAATTTTAAAGTAAAAGTTTCCTTTATTAAATGAATATTCTCTAGGTCCAAGAAATGAAAGCATACCACTTACTGTTCAGTTCTTTAAGAATACTATCAAGTATCCAGGGGTTACATCTGTTCATGGAATTTTAAAATCACAGATACACACAGAGAATTAAGAGATACAGGATATAGCTTTAGCAAGAGCACAGCCAAGCCTCACAGGGAACTGAAAAATATTCTTTAAAATGTCCCTGAATCTGGTAGGTTGCCACTGTAGAGATGTAGGTGTCTCCTCAAAAGTGGCCTCTCATTACATTCTGCTTGACTCTTCCTCCTTCCTTTTAACCTGATGTGCAGAGCTGGGGAAAGAAATCCTGTGGGTATCACCAGAGGCCCAGCTTCCATGATCTCCTTTGCTGCACCATGTAAGAACCACATGGTCTCAAGACCCTCCTCAGTGCTGGATACAAAAGTCCATGTGGAATTATTAGTCTTGGATATTTTTTTGACAGTGAAAATGTGAATGAGTTTAATTAGATGTGACCTTCAGATTTTTGTTTTCAAATGTTACTTGGACAGGATTTGGAATACCAAAAGTTCTTTTCAAATAAAGCAATAGAATGACTACAAGTAGAAAACAATTCTTATTTTCTCCCTTTTTTTTAAAAAAAAAAAAAGGTACTAGTGATTGTTCTAAAAGCATTGTTACAAAGGCTATTCACTGGGAGTAGAACAAGATTGTCATGCTCTCATTAATCATGGCCTATTTCTAAACTTTATAACATTCATATATTTAAGCACTACTATACTTTATTACAATTGTGAATGGAACTTTAAAAAAAATTCCCTTGATTCAGTAATCTGTAACCAGAAAGGATAATGATAATCAGGTCCACTTTTTCCTCAGAGATGCCCAGTTATAAGAGTGTGGGACTGCAGAGAAATATTTTTATGTTTCTGCATAGCTAGAGCTTTCTAGGCATTTTTACTAGAATGTAGAACCTAAGCTAAAAAACAAGCCTCAGAAATTAAATTAAGAAGCTAAGAGTGGTGGTTCACACCTCTTATCACAGCACATTGGGAGTCCAAGGCAGGAGTTCAAGAGCAGCCTGGGAAACATAGTGAAACCCCTATCTGTACAAAAAAATTAAAAAGTTAGGCACGGTGGCACACGCCTATAGTCCTAGCTACTCTGGAAGCTGAGGTATGATGATTGCTTGAGTCTAGGAGGTCAAGGCTACAGGGAGCCGTAATTGTGCCACTGCACTCCCACCTGGGCAACAGAGCAAAACTCTATCTCAAACAAACGAACAAACAAACAAACAAACAAAAAACAGAAGTTGAATTGTGAGTGCATAGTGAGAATTCCAGAGAGATTTACCCCTGCAGAGGTAATGTGGTTAGATTTTAAGGAGGCTAACTGGAAGAGGGGGACGAAACCATCTTCATGGAGACATTCCCAGAGTTGTAAATCAGGAGCCGCTAGTCATATCTTTCCTTAGAGACCCATGTTTATATCCCAAAGGGTCAGTGCCCAAGATCCTTCTCAAGTTGAATTCCCTCCACCCTCCCCAGAGGCTGCAGAGGGGGACAGCTGTCCCTCTCCAGATTTGTATTTTTGGAGTTTCTCACCTAGAGTGTAGACCATGTATACGATGACCTCTGGTTCACTCGGCATGCTGATCTCAATATTTTATCAGAACCTCACTGACTTCTTCATTCTCTTTAATTATCAGTCTTATAATCCCTTTACATTTTTATCTTGCTTTACAATCTACAAGATGCTTTTTACATTTATTGTACCATTTGATTCTCACAATAATATTTGGAAATGGAATTGTTAGGTGTTACACTATTTCTATAAACTGGAAATATATTTCAAAATTTATTTGAAATGAGATGTAAGAAGACTGAAACTCAGTATTCATGTGATGGAACAGAAGTTGTCTGGCTGTGATTTTCAGGTACTTTTAATTTGTGTTGTCCCTGATATCAGCAGCTATCAAATAATAGGCATTCCATCAAATAGCAAGGCTGAACTCTTCCAAGATGCACATAAACCACTGCCCTTTCCTACTTTGGATTCTAATAATTATGTTTTCTCTTAACCAAAAGATAATTACAAATATGAAAGAGTTTTCATTAAGACAAAAAAAAAATCTGTTTTCAGACTGTTCCTCAAATGCCTTTGAATCCTTTAAATGTTAAATAATAAACATAGACTTTTGACAGTTTTTGAAGCACTTTCACACATATCTCATTTAAACAAACACATATGAGATACATAAAAATATTGACCTTTGACAGATAGAGAACTAAAGGCCGAGAGAAGGCCTGAGGCCATGTACTCAGTGGGTGATAAACTCTCCAAGTGGGAGATCAGGACTTCAGATATCCTGCCCCTCCTGTGAAAAAGCATTAAGATTCTGGTGAAAACCCAATAAACTATGTGTTTTACCTAAAGTATTATGAACCCTGAAATTTCAAAATTATTTAAATATATTTTTTTCTTAAGTCTCAGACCCTTGGGAACACAAGTCCAGGGGAAGACAGGAAAGAATGCTGGTTATGAGCTAATGTCACTAGCAGTAAGGCATGTCACCCAGATAAAGGGAGTGCTGTGATGATTAACCTAATAGCAGTTTGTAAAAGACTGTGCTCCTCCCTGATTATAATTCATCCACATACACTTATTAGGCACATTTTTTAAAAATTTACCATGGCAATAGCAATACAAAACTATTGATCATTGTCACAGAATCCATTTAGAGACAAAAAGATAACTGTTAAAAATAGTGTTATAGTCAAAAGTGAAAAATTTTATTCTGTTGAGTAGAACAATTCTCAAATCATTACTTCAAACTTTACTCAGAGGCCTCTGGTTGAATAAGTCTTTTATCTGTCCTTTCTTTATCTAACACACCCATTCTTCTCACAAAACAGGGTCTTCAGAGGCAGACTGGAAAACTGGACACCCAAGCCACGTTCAGCAGCTCAGACCTCCACTCGTTCCCCTTGCATGCCTTTCTCATGGTTTAATGACAGCCGGAAAGGATCCTATTCCTTCAGGAACCTGCCTGCACCTGCAAGTTCCCTTCAGCCTTCTCCTGAGACTCTAATTTCAGATAAAAAGGGGTCCAAGGTAGAAAACACATGGATTACAAAAGCAAACAAGAGAAACCCAAATCCCTCCTCTTCTTCAATCTTTGAAAGGCATTCTCAACTTATGTCTGTAGTCTGGATCCAAGAAACCAATGTAATAACACTGCAATAAACAATGCATGGTATTTATGTAGGAAAAAGAAAGCCTCATTTAACCATCACCTTCTTTAATACTGTTTCATTCTATATTGTACATTACTCTTTGATTTACCTATCTTTTCACATATTGCTATTTGATCTCAGTTTGACAGTTAAGCCATGCTGAGAAAGATGCATTTGAATCACAGAACAGAGTAATAGATTTGTTTACCCAGTATTCTACTTTAAATTACATTACTAAGCTATTTCATCGTGCTTCTCAAAATTTACTGAAAGGCAAATAAATTTGGGACTGAACATGTGTTCAGTACATCTAAGTGAAGCTCTGAAACAAACCAGTGCTGACATAGCACCCTTACTTATTTCTTCTTTTAATATCCAACTTCTGTGTTGAATAACTGCTGTATAATTCTATCACCAAAGTTCTTTAACCTAATTAGGAAATATATGCATGGGTGTCACTTGTTTTAAATGCATGATGATTATTTCCAGCATGACACTGAAAATCTTATCTAACATTTTATTGAAACGCATATGGTGGCTAACTTTCACGTGTTGTTTGGTCTCGTTTTATCTGTGTTCACTTTTCTTTCTCAAACAGAAACATGTGGTTAATGTTACTTGAATTTAATTCTTTTCAGTTTCAATTTAAATCTTTTCAACAGCTCAAAGGGTTTTGACTGGGATACCAAATGGTAATGTTCATGTTAAATGTCCTGCTGCTTAAATGTTCTGCTGGCCTACCTCTGTGTGCTCTAACTTAGACTTCTTTTCTGAAGTTTTAGCAAACTTTGGAGTTTGTTTGGTACTGAAGTCTCCAGCTTCAGGCATGGTATCTATTTTTGATAACCAACTAAACCCAATATAAGGGAACTTAGTGGAAAACTAACAGTCCAATTCCTAAGGAAATGAAATAGAAACAAGATGGTGTTGGTCAAGTGCTTAGAGTTCCTGGGAATCCAGCCATTTTAGAATTACTAGCAAAAGAAGTTTTGACAGCAGCACATCACTTTGGTCTTTAAACATTTTCAGTATTGGATCTGAGACATCTAAATGCTATTTGAAGAATTCTGCCATTATCTTGCACTGTAGAGGCTCCAGATTTGGTTAAAAATGTTTTTACAAGTGCAGCTATATAGTCATTGTTAAGTTGTTTGATTTTTATATCCACCAAACATTTTAATAAAGTTCTAGGGAAGTTTTATTTACATACTCCCACCTTCCCCTCCCCCAGGTGATTATTTAGTAACCTGTGTCTGTGCTGTGTGGCAGCCTCTTTGATACTCTGCTGGTGCTGTGAGAGAGTTGTATTTCAGCATGTAACTACTTGTATATTGTCAGGCTCTGACCTCCCCCAGAACTCATCATCTTGAAGGGTACATCCAGGAGAGGATCTGCCATTTCTCATAGTATTTATCATGGTCAACAACAAGCGATCCTTCCCAGGGGGTGCTCTAGCTACCTTTCTAATATGAATTGCCATCTGTTCCTAATAACTCAGCCTCTCCACACCATCTTGTATTTTTACTTACACTGTTACTCATCACGATTAGGGTCAAAAAAGATAGGCTTATTAATATTACTCTTCTGAGCAGTTGCAGAGGATAATGAATTCTGTACCCTTGAAGAGAGATTGAAGAATTATTTCTCTACAACACCTATCCTTTCATCACATGGAGAAAGCACCCAGAATTCCTGAATTCCCTCAAACGCATAAGGTGCAGCATTCTCAACTGCTGCCCTGTTGAAGGTCATCACCAAATCAAACATGAATTTCTGCTAAGATTGTTTAAAAGAGCCTTTTTAGAGCTTGCAAACACACCTACCTACTTCTTGCTCACTCACTGCACTCATTTAACACTGTGCTTCATTTATTTTTACAGAATTTTACCTTCAATGATGACTTCAGTCCCAGCAGTACCAGCTCGGCAGACCTCAGCGGCTTAGGAGCAGAACCTAAAACACCAGGGCTCTCTCAGTCCTTAGCACTGTCATCAGATGAGGTACTTTAATGGCACTGTGACAGAACTGCTTTGTCAAATCTGACATTTTACCCATGAACTATCACCAGGAAAATGTTTTTAGGGTAGATCTTGCATAGAAATCATCAGGACTGTGGTTTATGTTCAATATGAAGTCTTCATGATTTCTCTCCCTCTCTTTCTCAACACAAAAGCAAAGTCTTATTCTTAAGCTTTCCAGGGGGTTACGCTTTTATGTGTATATGTAAACACACATATGAGGAGGCTGGGAACTGCAGGGTAAACATGGAACTTCAGAAATCACATAGAAATTCACAAATTACTCCTTTTTTTTTCTTGCCTCCTCCCACAACCACCCTCACCCAAAGATTCTGATACTGCCTCTGATTAGACTGTTCTGATTAGGGTGAGGTCTCTGAGAATCATTGCAGTAGACAGGGACAGTTTTGATAAAGAAGGAAAATGGGTTGAGAACCATTTATTTAAAAGCACAGGTCAAAATTAGTATTGCTACAAATTATCGGGAGATAAACGTGTACAAGAGAGTCAGGAAATGAGGTTAGTGATTAACTTACTTCCTCAAAAAATGGGGGGAGGACAGAAGGCACTATGAATAAATATATTTTTGCTGTAAGTATTTGTTCTTACTATTTCTTTCTAACATGATTTTTGATTCATAAAACTTTTTTTTTTCTCATAAGCTTTTCTGCCCTTATTCTTCAAGCTTGGTGCAATTTTCATTGTATTAAAATTGTGTACTATATATGTTGTGTCTCCTGTTTCTGTAACATGTTTCTTCTTGATTCTTTTATCGCTCCCTCACTCAGAGCCTGGATATGATAGATGACGAGGTGAGCTATCAGTGGGCTGCGTGTGGTGGCTTATGTGCTATTGTTTGAACATGCTTTTCTCTCTTTGGAGATGATTGAAAAATCAGACAATACAAGAACACCTTCCTCTTTAGTGAAGGGTTACCTTGTGTTAAATAGCTTTACTCTCTGCCCTTACCATATCTTAGTTTAAAAGATGTTTTTAAGTTAAGAGGATCTCCACATTGCACCTCCAGAGTTTCTTGATTTATCTCCCATCACCATTACATCAACATAGTCCATTCTTTTCCTCTCCTTTGACTTCATCTTGGCTTACTCTATCCCTTCTGTGTTCCCTGTGTGGGTCACCAAGGTGACTCCTGTCTTTCCTCCAAGACCTATCATCACCTTAGTGATTGATATTCTCAGCTTAGTGGGTCTAGAAACCAACCTGTCCCTTTGCACTATTAAAAGGAATATTCTGCAGTGGACAGAGCCAGAAATCTGGAATAAACTCCTAACCATTGAGCTCTACCACTTACTAACTGTGTGATCTTGGACAGAGCACATAGACTTCCTGAGCCCCAGTTTTGTCATTTCTTTTTCTCTTTCTTTTTTTTTTTTTTTTTTTTTTTTTTTTTTTTTTTTTTTGAGACAAGTCTCACTCTGTTACCCAGGCTGGAGTGCAGTGGCACAATCTTGGCTCACTGCAACCTCTGCCTACCAGATTCAAGTCTCAGCCTCCTGAATAACTGGGATTACAGGCATGCACCACCACACCCAGCTAATTTTTGTATTTTTATTAGAGACAGGGTTTTGACCTGTTGGCCAGGCTGGTCTCAAACTCCTGGCCTCAAGCGATCCACCCAACTCAGCCTCCCAAAGTGCTGGGATTGCAGATGTGAGCCATCATACCCAGCCATTTCCTCATTTCTTAAAAGCAGTTAAGGATATTATCTGCCCTATCTTCCTCACATTTTGCTTGCTGCTCAAATGAAATAATGGTTGTGAAACTCCCTAAGAAGGCTTGAGAGCTTAATGCTCTCCTCTCCCAAGTGAAAGATACTTCAGTATTTTTACAAAACTCGAATGTGTTATTAGAGGATAAATGATGCATTACATACAGATATTTATGAAATACTTATTTTCTAGATCTTATAATCCGTCCAGACTGTTTTGATATAAATGTTTGCAACATAGTGCATTTTCTTCAATGTTAAACTTCCTACATTAATAATGGTGCTTTTTTATTTGGGGGAATTTCTAAAGTTTCAAATACATGAAAACATATAGGGTAATAAGTATATTTTTAAGACCACTAGAACCATTAGCTTATTATATTTTGGTTTAAGCATAAATGTGGCTCTCATAGGTTAAAAAATTCCTTTTGATAGCATAATATGAGCCATAGTATCTTGGTCCTTTAACAACACTACGTAACATTCCTGTCTCAGATCCTTGATGATGGACAGTCTCCCAAACACAGTCAGTGTCAGAATCGTGCCGTTCAGGAGTGGAGTGTGCAGCAGGTTTCTCACTGGTTAATGAGCCTAAATCTGGAGCAGTATGTATCTGAATTCAGTGCTCAGAACATCACTGGAGAGCAGCTCCTGCAGTTGGATGGAAATAAACTTAAGGTAAAGAATTATATATCTGTGTTAGGTTACCAGGTATAATTTGTATTACTCATAGCATCTAAAATGTTTTCATTAGCTAAGAGCATTCTGCATATCTGAGAGGTAATTCTCATCAACATTCAGCAGAAAGGATGTTGAATTCTTTCTGAGTAGTAAATGAAGTTTCAGAAAGTCCATTAGGGGTTCTAAATCAAGTGGTAGGCTGCTGATTAAGAGAGCAAGGGACCCACTCCATTGCTTCCACCTGGCAACACATGGTCCATGTATTAACTCTCCTTACTTCTGATGCAGTATGAGTTTTAATAATGGCCACTGTGGACTTATTCATCACATTAGAATTAAGACCCAGATCCATGAATCTTCTTTTTCTTACTCATTTCTCCTTCACCTCCACTATTCCTTACACACCACTCTCAAATGGGATGACATTCTCCCCAGAAGTTTTTTCCCCAAATATGTACACACATCTTCCCTCCCCTCCATGGCACTTTCATTTCCACTTGTCCAGTTCATCTCTCTTAGAGACCAAGGTGGCATCCACCCCTCTGGGAAAGGGAAAAAGGAGCTTACAGCCTGCTCTATGCACCCCCAAGCCCTACCCCTGCTTCAGCCCCCTGCTAGACTGACCATCAGATGAGTATCTCTTGACAGTCTTGAAAAGGTTAGAGATCAATCAATAGCTTGTGAATATGAAGGCCCCATTGACAAGGCTGTCCCTGTTGGGGAGATAAGATAGATGCATCCTGCTGTTGATTCTGAAGGTCACGAAACATTTAAAGTACATAAGCAACTCCCCTTATTCTGAATTCTAAGTTCATCAAGCAACCTCCTCATTATAATCAAGCTTCTTTTATAGATCTGCCTACAGGGAAAGAATGGCTAGTCATGCTGACATGAACATTCTGGCCCCAAAGCCATTTTTGGTTCTCATTGTAATGAAAACATTGGCAGAAAGGAAGCCGTTTCAGTTCTCTTTGCCTTTCTTGGAGCCCTCTGTGACAGCAGGTGCTCACTCCTCCACTTTGAAAATATTGATGAGTTTAGCAATACCTTTACCTGTAAATATCTACAGCCCAAAGGTTGGAGAAGTAGAATCGTGCACTTTTTCCATTCATTTACTTGTGAATTACTAATTTGGATAGCATTTACTTAATGGGCTTTAGGATGTACTTTGCAAGGGTCATCAAAGAAGAAATAAAGTGTATCCCCCAGTATGTAGATTTGTAGAAAATGATTGTAACTAGCCCTTTCTCTGTTCTTACCTCTTCTATCTTTGAATTAGTTTAAAAGTATGAACATACTGTATATTAACATCATCAGAGGGGTCACTGGTTTTCAAATTCAGTTTGTATGTACATTTTCTTCCTAGGCTCTTGGAATGACAGCATCCCAGGACCGAGCAGTGATCAAAAAGAAACTCAAGGAAATGAAGATGTCTCTAGAGAAGGCTCGAAAGGCCCAAGAGAAAATGGAAAAACAAAGGGAAAAGCTAAGGAGAAAGGAACAGGAACAAATGCAAAGGAAGTCCAAAAAGACAGAAAAGATGACGTCAACTGCAGCTGAGGGTGCTGGTGAGCAGTAACACATACCCTCTTACAGATGATGGAGATGCTCCAATAGAAGTCCCCCGAAACTAAATGATAGGGGTAATGCGGCTCTAAGACCCATGTGTTGAATAACTGCATTTTCTGCAGTAGAATGCATTCTTAATTTTAACTACTAAAATAATCCTAAGCCACCTTTGGTTTATTAACAAACCAGAGATCTCATTTAAGTAGCTGTGTTTTACTCTTCTCTAACTTACCAACATCTTATGTTGTGTTGGGTGTGTTTTGTCACTTGGAGAACTAGTGTGACCCCACCCAACAAGAGCATGACACACCTTGGTGTTGTTAATGAAGCGCCGTGAATTTTGAGTATGAGATCCTGAAATGGCAATTGCACATGTCTGCATGGCAGAGAGCAGCCTGCCATGAGATTTGGGACCAGTACTTATTTCTAGGGCTGCAAAAACTACTCCAATGTATGAGAAAAGTTCCTTCTCAATTCTGAGTCTGGACGGTAAGACTACCCCACTATGGAAACATGGGTGCTCTGCTATGCAGTTACCTACTAAGGGAAAAGGCAAGCAAGCCATTCTGCTTGCTAGACATCAAAAAGAAAGAAAAGAATTATAGCTATTTGTCAACCACTGAAAAAAAGCAAAAACCTTAAGAATGTGGATTGGGTATTCTTGAGGTTCTGAGGGTAACATTTATCCTCCAGATATAACTGAACAAGAAAGAAAAAATTAGACATGAATGCAGTCATGGGATATTGGGATCTGTTGACTTTGCTACTGCTGTGTGTATCAGTATTTCAGCGACACTGGCAAACACAACACAGTTCCTCTTCCCCCCACCCACCCCAAGAAATTGAACAGGAAATTGATTTCTAGGAAACCACTATTTTCAGGTTTCCTCTCCTGGGGAACATTCTGGCTGGTCTTCAGCCTGCCTATGACACAATCAGGAACTGGTCACATATTTTCTACTCAAGATTTCCCAGGTGGGCTCAGTTAGTGTTTGAACAAATGTACTTTTAAGAAAAAAAAATAGAAATACCAGTTTGAAGAAATTTGAGTAACGTTCAACCAGAGAACCAATTTTTTTTAGTACAAAGAATGTTCCTGTAAAGAAGGAACAATCTCTCTAAAATGCTGTCAGTTAACATTTTAGATTTTGAATGGTTTTTCTGAGCCATTCCTTTCCATACCTCAGAGATTTCCAGTTCTACAGAAAAAGTTTGTTTAAGGCAGTGAGATACAGTTTAGTGGTGGAGGAACTTATACTAATTTTAAACCAGTATTAAGGATTTCAGTATTTCATCAAACTGAGTCAAGTGCAGACTGGGGCAGAAGAAGGTGAAAAACTCATTTTGAGAAATTTTATATGATGAGGATTTATAGTTTTTTGTTTTTTATGCTTATGTATCTGGTTCTCTTTGTTGCATTGACTCTAAAAATGAGGTTATCCACTTTCTAAGGAGCAAGTTTCAGAATAAGACTTGAGGCCACACGAATTCTTGGACAAGTATTTTACTTCCTTTACTTTATGAGGATCTCTGCTTTGTTCCCAGCATCGTGGTATCTTCCACTAGAAGCATTCTGTATGCAGAAGTTGGGTAAGACCTTTGAGCATAACAGATTAAGGGAACTGCCTTCTAGCCCCATTTTAATAACATTGATTTTTTTTGTTGTTAAAAAAATTTTTTTGGCTTATTTGAAAATCTGAATTCAGGAATTATTTAGACATTTTAAATTCTGTTCTTCCCCCAAAGATTGTTTCCTTTTCATTGCCAGAGTATTGTCTGTTATGCTTCAGCTCTTTTGTCATTAGGTACAGACCATTCATCCTCAGAAACGTTGACATGAAATAACATTGTGTTTTACAGTTGTCATAGTCATTATGTTTTTCTGTCTGTCTTCATTTGGGGTATGATAATGAAACTGCCATTCTGGATACTCTTTAATATCTTGAGATGTCTGGTGCTTTGTTATTTATTAACATCATGAGAAATAAGAAGCCACTATTAATGAGTGATAAAATTTGGCAAAACTTTAATACTAAAACACTAAATTAGTAAAAAATCTGGTAATACTAGTACTTTCTATTATAAATTTTTGCCATTTTTGCTTATCTTTGGGGAAAGAAGTGACCTGGATCACACTGGAAGTTTCACTGTATTCAAGAGTAGAAATAGAAGGATGATTATCTTATGTTTACACTTTGGCGATATTTGAAAATGGATGTATATACTGGAAACGTCTGTAAGTGTCTGTCTCTACACCTAATTTATGATCTATTCTATTGCATTTTCTTAAATGTCTTAGTATTCTTTATAATTTTGTACGTTGAATGTGTAGATAAATGTCCAACTGACAATATTATAAATCAAATTCTTATTGCTTAAATCATTTAGTATTATAACTATTTTGGTTTTTTAAGTTAAATTATAGTAATTTTAGGCCTAAATGAGTTATTTTAACATTACTACTTAGATGAAATTGTAAAAGTCACTTGGTTTGATTGTCCGGCAAAGCATAAGATGTAAGCTGATTGATATAAGGGTACAAAAACGAAGTGAAAGGCCTCAGACCTTGTGAGTATTTTGTTTTCTATTATTTCTTTTATTGACTGTAGTGCATGATGCCTGATCGAGGCTCCAAAGTCTTGCACAATCCTACTTTAATGCTAGTGGTTTTCAGTGTCTTTACGATTTAACACAGAATTGTTACTTCATCAACCTTAACTTTGCAGTTTTTTATTATCAGAAAATGAACAGAAAGGGAATATCTGGTTGCTATGAACTATATTCCCTAAAGAAGAGCTCAGTATGACTCTAACAATAGCCAAAAATGTTTTGGGGTCTAGGTTATACTTTGTTGGGAGGGAATGTGTGGTGAGGCCAAGCTGCAGACAGAAAGCATTGTATGAGCTGTATCTGAGTCAGGGTTTTCCATCAAAAGATGTTAGTTTTATAACAGATTACTTTGTTTAAGACCATCTCCCTTCAAGTAACTTACAGTTCATGTAATACTTAAATCATTTTTTTTTTTTTTTTTTTTTTTGGCCTGAATGAGGAATTACTGCAGAGTTTTAAGTTAGGGAAGAAACCTCACTTCATCCATTCTAACACTGCTGATGAAGTGCCCCTTTAGTTTCATGATAATAAAGCTGTTCTGTGGCTATCATCCTTTAGCTGGGATTGACATTGATTTTACACCCTCAGCATCACACCAGCTTTTTTAACCCACAGCAGTTCATGATTGCAGTATGATAGGTACTAAAGCCAAACTCAGCTTTCAACCGGCACAAAATGGGACTGTCTACCTTTTGCTTGTCGTTGGAAACAAAGTGGCAAAAGGGAAAATGAGGAACCAAATTTACCTTTGCCACTATTTGTGACCCTATAGTCATCTCTGGCCTGAAATCTTAAAATATCTCAGGCCCAGGCTACAAAAATGGTCACAGGTAGTTTGATCTAGCACCTCAGCCATTTGTACTGAAGACACAATTCTGGATTCATTGTGCACCAGAATTAACATGTGCTTGAAAAATGCATTTGATGAAAGGGAAATGAAATTTTGCATTTATATACATACTCAGTTTGATGTTTAAGTGTTAAAGGTTATGCACACCAATCTTCAAGATGAGATCCAGTGTTTAACAATAGTGTTCAAAAGGATGCTAAAGGAAGTGTCCCAGCAAACCTAAGAGAACCATCTATACTTTAGATAGGTTGTAGCCCCAACATTACACTGAGATATTTCCATTTGAGTAACTAAAGATACTCCTGACAGAGCTGGAGATGAGGGCACTTTGGTGGACAGTAGTCACTAGGGTTCATGTCACCTGCTTAATGCAAAGACCTTAGTGGTCTCAGAATGAAAAAATATATATATATATATATATTTTGAGACTGAATCTTGCTCTGTTGCCAGGCTAGAGTTCAGTGGTGTGATCTTGGCTTACTGCAACTTCCACTTCCCAGGTTCAAATTATTCTCCTGCCTCAGCCTCCCGAGTAGCTGGGACTACAGGTATGTGCCACCACACCAGTTAATTTTTTGCATTTTTAGTAGAGACGGAGTTTCACCTTGTTAGCCAGGATGGTTTTGATCTCCTGACCTCATGATCCACCCTCCTCAGCCTCCCAAAGTGCTGGGATTACAGGTATGAACCACCAAATATCCATATTTGCTATTAAAATGGTTTACATTAGGATGGGGGGGGTGGGAAGTTGGGGGAGGACTGTACATTCCCAAAAGAAAGCAGTGTTATAGGAATTCCAAATGGGCTTCAGTGTTTCACTCCTGAAAGCAGCCTGAGTATGTTGGCAGATTTTGTTTGCATTTGTCTTGCGTATTTAAAGTCTTGGTCCAAAACACTGGGGAAAAAATAACACCAGACAAAACACATTTGAGTAACTTGAAGTAGCAGCATAGAATAGGCCAAACTAAGAAGCTGGAGGGACAAAGAAAAAGCCAACAGAATCAGTTTCTCTTGAAAAATGAAAGCGTCAAGTTCTATTTATAGTAGACAGAGGGTTTGTGTTTGCTTGTGCGTGATGTCTGTGTGAGCCTGTTGAGGGAATGATAGTTACTTGAAGGTTCACATACGTAAGCATGTGGAGCCAGCACAGTCTGTGACTTGATTCCAGATCCTCAGAGTGGAGAAGGAAAGAAATATGATGATAGCCAATGCTTGACCCTAACCCAACCCCAAAACTGCTAGGGATTCAACAATGAGTAAGATGTAAGGGATAAGAGAACAGACAACTTCTCAATAATGTGCATGCCGTTTGTGTAGATGTTCAGAACTATGTATGTGTGAATATAACTCCCACCTTACACATGCGCACACACTACAATCACATGGCATTAAAAAATATATTGTGTATGGAAGTTGGTAAGGTCAGTCAGGACCTGGAGCTGTAATCATAGCCTTATTGCCACTTCTTGTGTTGTGTATACATTGAATGGCTCATAGATTTTAAGAGATTTTTTAATTGTAAGTATTTCTACTAAATGCACTTATCCTTCTATATGTTTATATATTTTGGTAAAATTGATTTATCAGATACTTGGTATTTTAGTAAGAAAATTTTCTCAAATATTTGGTTAATGCTTTGATGTCAAGATTGCATATTGCTGAGTTGAAGCTCAGAAGAAATTTATGCAGCTTTGGGCATTGTCAACTGCAGACTGCAGTTTTCTTGGCTAAAAATTGCACTGTGTGTTCTTGTGAATTTGCTCATAATTCTAAAATGACATAATTGGTGACTGATGCCTAAAGTCACTGACTACTGGCTCTCTGATGGTGAATGCTGCCATCACATGATCATTTATTTACTTTTTGTGCAAGTGATGGCATTTTGGTTGTTGCCAAAAAAAAAAAAACCTAAGTGGTTGGGAGTGTATGTTGTTGGAAGGTGTACACTTCTGTTACTTTCAGCTATATTATTTATACACCCAGGTTTTCTGTTAAGGATATAATCATTAATTCATGAAAGAACAATTGGCCAGAAATAATTAAATTACTTTAAAAAGTGAGAATTAAGAGGCACTCCAGCCAGATGACACCTCCCAACAACATGAAATTTAGTTAGTTCTTAGTGAAATTCCTTAAATATATATTTATATTTTCTTCCACATTATTTAA